TGCACTTTCATTTGTCTCTAGGTATTTTTTGATTTCTCTTTTGATTTCTTCATTGATCCAACGGTTGTTCAGTAGCATATTGTTTAGTCTCCACATATTTGTCATGTTCACAGCTTTTTTCTTGTAGTTGATTTCTAGTTTCATAATTGTGGTCAGAAAAGATGCTCAATATGATTTGTCTTCTTAAATTTGTTGAGGCTTGGCTTGTTTCAGAACATATGGTCTATCTTTGAGAACGTTCCATGTGCACATGAGAAGAATGTGTATTCTGCTGGTTTTGGATGGAATGGTCTATGTATATCTATTAAGTCTATCCGGTCTAGTGTTTCATTTAAAGCCACTGTTTCCTTGTTGACTTTATGTCTGGATGATCTATCCATTGATGTAAGTGGGGTATTGAGGTCTCCCACTATTATTGTGTTGCTGATAGTTTCTCCTTTTAGGTCTCTTAATAGTTGCTTTATATATTTGGTGCTCCTGTGTTAGGTGCATATATATTTGTAAGTATTGTGTCCTCTTAGTGGAATGTCCCTTTTATCATTATTTACTGACCCTCTTTGTTTCTCATTGTCTTTTTATCTTTAAGTCTGCTTTGTCTGATATAAGTATGGCAACATTCACTTTTGTCTTTTGCTTGGAGGATCATTTTCTATCCCTTCACTCTGAGCCTATGTTTGTCTTTAGAGCTGAGTTGTGTTTCCTGGAGGTAGCATATTGTTGGGTCTTGTTTTTTATTCCATCCTACCATTCTGTGTCTTTTGATTGGGGAATTCAATCCATTTACATTTAGAGTGATTATTGATATATGAGGGTTTAATGCTGCCATTTTATCCCTTGTTTTCCAGTTATTCTATATTTCCATTTTTTCTTTTCCCTGTATTTCTGACTGCCATTTCAGTTTCGTGGTTTTCTGTGATGGTTTTCTCAGTTTTCTCTTTATTTGTGATTTGTGACTTGCTCTGATTTTTTGTTTAGTGTTTACCATGAGGTTTGTATAAAAGATCTCTAGATGAGCTAGTCCATTTTCTGATAGACTCTTATCTCCGTTAGCTTAAGCCAGTTCAATCCCTTTCCTCTTCCCCTTCTGTATTGTTGTTGTCACAAATTTTCTTTTTTGTGTTGTGAGTTTGTGACTAAATCAAAGTGTTTATAGTTATTTTTTATGTGTTTCTTCCTTTTACCTTTTATGTTATAATTAAGTGTTTGATAACCTGTTCTGATAGACAGCTGTAATAGTCCGGTTTTGTCTATTTATCTCCTTGCTCAAAGTTTTGTAAATCTTTGCCTTTTTGTTTCAGGTAGGAGGGCTCCCTTCATCATTCCTTGTAAGTCAGGTCTAGTGGCAATGAACTCCCTCAGCTTTTGTTTATCTGGGAAAGCTTTTATTTCTCTGTCATATCTGAAGTATTATTTTGCCTGATAGAGTATTCTTGGATGAAAGTTTTGTCTTTCAGTATTTTGAATATATCATTCCATTTTCTCATAGAATCTAAGATTTCTGCCGAGAAATCCACTGAAAGCCTTATAGGGGTTCCTTTGTACGTTATTTTCTTCTGCCTTGCTTCCCTTAATATTTTTCTTTGTCATTGATTTTGACAGTTTTCATATTAAATCCCTTGGAGAAGGTCTTTTTTGCATTGATCTAATGAGGAGTTTTACTGGCTTCCTGTACATGTAAATCCAGTTCCTTCCCCAGGTTTGGGAAGTTCTCAGCTATTATTTCTTTGAACAAGCTCTCTACTCCTTTCTCCCCTTCTTCTCCCTCTGTGATACCTATAATTCATATGTTACTTTTCTTAATTGGGTTGGATATTTCTGTAAGAAAATTCATTTTTTTTATATCTTAGTTCTCTCTCCTCCTCCACCTGAAGCATTTCTATATTTCTATCTTCTAAGTCACTAATTCTGTCCATCATATTGTGTACCCTATTTTTTATGGTTTCTACATTATTTTTTTATCTCATTAATTGTGCTCTTCACATCCATAATTTCTGTATAGTTTTGTTTAAGGACTTCAATCTCTTTGCTGAAGTATTCTTCTTGTTCATTAATTTTATTCCTAGCACATTGAACTATCTTTCTTTTTTTTCTTGTAACTCGTTGAGTCTACAATAACTATTTTTGAATCCTTTGTCGTTTAGATTGTAGTCTTCTGTGACTTCAGGTTTGGTTTCTGGAGACTTGTCATTTTTCTTCTTTTCTGCAGTGTTAGTGTAGTTCTTCATCGTGTTTGATGAATTGATCCTCTGCCAGTGCATTTTTGGTAATATTAGGTACAGATTACACCCACCACTGCTGGGCAGGGCAGGAGCTGCATTTTCTGATCCCACACTGTCCACTGGTAGTTGTGCCAGTTGGGCTGCTCTGTGTTCACACAGACTGGCTGCCCCTCACATGGGCAGGGCAACTTGCTCAGTGGGCAGGTCTGTCTGACCTGCTGCATTCAGCAGGTGAGGCACCTTTGTGTGGGCTTAGCCGCCTCTCAGTAGGGAGCATTTGCATGGACAGGCCACCTTGGTAGGTGGGTGCTCCCGTGGGCTGGGCTACCACTCCAAAAACATTCATGTGCAGGCCGGGCTGTCCCCACCTCTAGTCACAGTCATGCCAGCCACTCTGTGAGGATCTGCAACCTGGATCTCTGCTGTCTGGGATGGGGAGGGATCTGTTCATCTAGTCCCACTGCTCTCCAAGTATCCAGTCCACCCATCTTCAGATGTATAGCTGTGTGGATCTCTCAGGAATCCTGTTGTGTTGTGTAGGGAATTTTCTGTTGGTTAATGAATGTCCATTTAGTTGTAACTCAGAGGGGAGAGACAAAAGGAAAAAGTCACTCTGTCCATGGATGCTGACATCATTCTGTGATGGGTTGTTCTGAAATGTCACTTTCTTGGATTCGAGTACATTGACTCTGGCTTAGTTTTGGTTTGCTTATGTAGGCTTCCAAGGTATCAGATCCACCTCAACCTAATGGCCTCTTTGTTTAATTATTTTAACAGGCTTGGAGACTGTAGCATCAACTCCTGTCTGAGTTTCCAGCCTGCTGATCTGCCCTACAAATTTCAGATTTGCAGTCTCCACAATTGTGTGAACCAATTCCTTCAAATAAATCTCTATAGCTACATTTGTATCTATCCTTTTGATTTTTTTCTCTGACAGATATAGTACTGGCTGATACAGGAATATTTCATCAGTCAAGACAAAGGGAGAGTCCTTGGTGGGAAGGAAAGGAGAATGAGTGGTAGTACCACCTGAGGGTATTTTTATGCAACAAATCCATCCCAGGCTGTGCCAATATCCAATGCACCCTGCAGGAGAGGAGGAGGGAAGCAGAGGGCTGTTGGTGCTGAGGAGTGAAGGTGGGAACAACACTCCTAGCACCTCACTGTGGGGAGAAAGGACACAGCATTTGCTGAGGTCCACTCTGACCAGGGGCCCCCTGGCACATACTGCTCTGGGAATGAAGTCAAAGGCTTAGACTAAATAGGATCATGGTTTGTGTTGGTACAATGAGGGAAGGGCTAGTTAGAGCCAGTATGTGTTCCTTAAAGGCCTACTATGTGCTGGCACCTCTGTAACACACATTTCTTCTTTTCCACCTGCTGGCTTGTTCCTGGCTTGCTGAGTTACTGGGGGTGGCTGGCCTGAGCACCAGTGCCATGGGCACTCCTCTTTCCTTTCTTCCCAACACAAGTTCAGGCAACCCCCAAGCATGAAGGCCCTGCCTGCCCAGCTGCCTGAAAAGCCCCTGGCTGCCCCTCGATTTGGACTGTGTAATGCTGGCAAAGCTCCGATCCCTGCATATCCCCCGGGGGAGTCCTTAGGGGTCGTTCGGCTCGTGTGTCATAGGATGGTGTGGTGAGGCAGTGAGAGCTGGGGCTGTGGCATCAGACAGACTGGGATTAGATCCTAAGACTTAACCTGCATGTCAAGGTATCATGTGGAGATGAAACAGTCAAAGCATTTGGGAAGCCTTCAGTGGAGGGCAGCCACTGTTGTTATGATGTGTAAACTGTAAAGAACCAGGCGAACCCATTCTCTCTGTTCACTCAGTGGATTAGAGTTCTCCAGAGAAACAGAGCCAATAGGATGCAGGATGTACACACACACACACACACACACACACATGTCTATACATATGTATATAGATAGATAGATGTACATGCACACATACATATATATATATAGAGAGAGAGATTGACTTATTTTAAGGAATAGGCTTATGTGATCATAGAGGCTAACAAGTCCAAAATCTGCAGGATGGGCTGGCAGGTTGGGAAGAGTTGCAGTTCGAGTCTGAAGGCAGTCACTGGCAGATTTCCCTCTTCCTCCAGGGAGGTCAGTCTTTTGCTATATTCAGTCCTTTGACTGATTGGATGAGGCCCACCCACATAATGGAGGGTAATCTGCTTTACCCAAAGTCTACTGATTTAACTGTTAATCTCATCCAAATATACCTCCATAGAAACATCTAGAATAATGTTTGACCAAATATCTGGGTACCATGGCCTAGCCAAGGTGACACATAGAATTAACTATCACATCCAGTGTACACGCCCAGGGACATTATACACTCTCTGCCCAGAAACCTCACCAGAAAGTGCTCAGAACACTACGGGATCTGGCTTGGACTCCAGTAGGAGTCTTTGTTACCAGAAGAAGCAGATGTAGCTGGTTTTACCCTGATGTCCTGTAGCATAGGGCTGAGGTCAGCACCATTCCTGGGTTTCCAGAACATGCAGGATGAGTGGGTAGCCTCCAGAACTCTCTAGACTCATCAGAACAATGCCCTGAACCCAGAGTGTGCTGCAAGAACCCAGTGTTATGGCACCTCCAGGGACAGATCCTGCCTGTCCTCTTCTTGCAAGGCTGGTGGCCTGGGCCTCAGCTGCACCCAGCACCCCTGACTAGGAGCAGAGTGAGAGCGGGAGGGTGCCCTGCAGCAGGCCAGCATCTTATACCAAACAATCCTGAAAGACCAACACAGGCGTGGTTGTGTTGGTCTTTTAGATACTTTATAATAATTGGAAACTAAAACCATCAAAATGCTTTTGGGACAGCCCACTCCAAAACTTCTCCAGAAGGCTGAGGCAGGTGCAACCTGGGCTGCCAGCATTCAAACTTGGAAGCTGCGCACGCTCATCGTTCCCTCCCCCTCCCAGCCCTTCTGCATCACAAATCTTCATCGTCAAAGGTCTCCATGCACCTCAACATTATCATCTCATCGTCAAAGGGAACATCCGGTTCCTGCAAAACACAAGGTGGAAGAGGATTAAATTTTATTTAAGGACCCCAGGCCCCAGGCAGGTGAGAAGCCCCCACCATCTCAGGCGTGCCCTGCTCCCTCAGTCGCTACTCCACGTCTCTTCAGCTGTATCTTCTTCTCCAGCTTCTGGCCAGGAGGTGAGGACCACACGGGGGAAGGTCCCATTTCTATTTCACTCAACTCCATACTCTAGAATCTCCAGAAAGGCTTTTCCTGGATACAGCAGAACTGGCTTCTTTCCTATCCTGGAGATTTCCAGGATCGCATGAGAGAGACAGGGAAAATCTTATAGCTTTATGCAAATGTCCATTAGTAGAAGATGGTGAATTACACCATCGTGCACCCACCAATGGAATACCATGCAGCTGGTTCAAAAAAAGGAATGAGATTGTTCTCTCTCTGTGGCATATGCTATTACAAAGGGCAAGGTAAAGCCATGTGCATGGCAGCCTACCATTTGTGTTTGAAAGAATATATGAATATTTGAGCATATCTTTGGATGGCTATAAAAGAAACTGGGAATGGTAGTTGCCTTTGGGGAAGAGTATGGGGTATTAACCAAGGGATTCTTGTTGCCGATTCTTTGTATATCTCTTGGTAACTTTCGAATTTTAAACCATGTGCCTGGGTTAGCTATTAGGAAATAATTTTCTTAGTAAGTAGCACTATGTTTGTGTAGCAAGCATTTTTCATTCCCTTTATGATGACCCAGCCAACCTCTCTGACTCCACATTCCCTCTTCCCCTAAAGGTATGTTCCCGGGTTTTTGCTATTCTTGTCTGTCCCCACCAGTAGAAAATGACCCTTGTAATTTGTTAGCCCCGCTGGTCAGGGGTTGATCCCCTTGTGCCCTGGGAAGCATCCCTCACCCCAGTCATCCATCTCTTGAATGTGGGACCTGGTCCCAAGGGGGACGGCCAGATTGGGGGATGACCCCACAAACGAAGCCTTCCCAGCTCTGGAGAACTGTCCTCACTCTGTGAGAGTGACAGAGAGCTGACAGAGAGAACAGAGGACAGTAGAACTGTCCTCTACTGATGGAGGTGGGAGTACATGGGGAGCCAGAGTCTCCAAGAAGGGGGACCAGGTGGTCTTGGGGAAAATCACCAGGGCCCCGTGTTCAGGGTGAAGACAACGGCAAAGGTTGATAAAAGAGGGAATCAGAGCATAAGGGGTGCTTGGAGGCCAAGCATCCTAGGAGGGAACCACCCACTCAAATCTCTGTCACACAAAGTGCTTGAATGTCGTGTAGAACGTTCCACTTCCTTAAGCCCCTGAAAATGGTGTCTGAGGCATGTTTAAGCTGCAGATTTGGGAAATCAAGAGGCTGTGAGAAGTGTTTGCTGGAACTAGGTGTTGAAGTGTGTTGAATAGTGCTCCCCCCAAATTCGTGTCCACCTGGAACCTCATTTGGAAATAGAGTCTTTGCAGATGTAAGTAGTTAAGGATGTCAAGGTGAAACCATCCTGGATTTAGGGGGTCCCTCAATCCAAATCACTGGCATCCTTATAAGATGATGAGAGGGACAGAGACACACACAGAAGAAGGCATGTGAAGGCAGAGGCAGTGACTGGAGGGACACAGCTACAAGTCAAGGAATGCCAAGGATTGCTGGGAGCCACCTGAAGCGAGGAAAAGGAACGAAGGATATTTCCCAAGAGCTTTCAGAGATGGCATGGCCCTGCCAACACCTTAATTTGACCTTCTGGCCTCCAAAACTATGAGACAATAAATTTTTGTTATTTTAAGCCGCCACGTTTGTGGTTATTTGCTATAGCAGTCCCAGGAAACCAATACAGTGCTCATTAGTTTCATCCACCACCTCCCATGAAGCTGACAGAGTCAGGTGAATGGGGAAGAGAAGGAAATTTCCCTCTTCACATCAGCGTCTATCAAAGCCAGAGGCCTCCTGCACCAGAACCTCTTGGACAGCTTGTTCAAAATGCAGGTTCCTGGAGTCCCATCTCGCAAGGCTGAAGGGGAATCTTGGGTGCTGGGGCATCAGGAATCTGCATTTCCAATAAGCTCCCGTGTGATTCAGGTTTGAGCACCTCTGCTCTATACGGATCCCCTGGTCCCTGCTAGTTCTTCCTCTTCTGCTGTGTGTGGAGAAAGGAAGCAGGAAAGCTAAGATTGTCCCGTTAATCCTTTCTCCAGGCCTTGGTAAAGTGGGCTGACTTCACCGTGTCCCAGAGGAAGTGGGACACAGCGGTGAGGGAGGGGCAGCCAAGGATTGGTGGGAGGAGGCGAGCACAGCGCAGGGAGGGCCCTCAGCTCCAAATGAGATTTATGTAGTCTCGGCAGAGGACCATGAAGATTAGTGGGAAGAAGGCCCCATTTTCCTCAGCCTATTGAAAAGCTGTCTTAACGATTTTTAGACATTTTCATTTTTATCACTTCCCTTTTGAAATAAACAGTTGTATTTTTGCTATTTAGTGAGAAAATCCAGGGCTACAAATCTGAAAGGGCCTGTCCCCTTGCCGGCTCAGGCATAACCCCCTCCCCCCATGAAAGCTTCCAGGAATGAACCTTCTAACCAAGACCCCCACAACTTATGTCACCATAAGCTGCAGAGTCGGCTTTTTGGAAGCAGAAATGAATATCCTTCAAAAGCTGAAAGCAAATATCACCCCAGTGTCTCAGAAGATGATGAAACAAAACAGTTCAGCCTCTTGGAAAGATGTCATGGAGTCATACAACATTTAGGAACGCCTGCAAAGAGCCAGACCCCTGGGGTCTGGTCTCTACTTCAAGGGGCTCTCAGTCTCAGGTTTGCCCTCAAGAGCATCCCCCTGTCTCTCTTCCCCCGACATCTTCCATCCCACAGGACGCATTAGGCAGAAGTCGACCATCCATGGAGCAGGCCAGAGAGAAGGAAAGAACGCCCCTGCCAGTGGTTCTTTGTGATGCCATCCGGGTGAGGTCCAGCCAGGGCTCCCTCAAGAGCCCTTTTCGCCACTCTAAGGGAGGGGAGCGGGGGTCTCATTGCACTCTGCTCTGTCCTACCTGTTTGACCTGAGGGTTAACACAGCAAAGGCCTTTAAAAAAATCGATGATCTGCATATAGAGCTGAAAATTCTCTTCTGGATTTTCTGGGTCACAGTTGGCAAACACTGAACTGACAACAGAGAGGAAGAAGAAACAGCAAATATTTAGAATCCTCAACTCTCACCTCTGCTTGTGCCCCCTAATGTATCTGGATGACAGTGTAAACCAAGTGAATCCTTGGATAGCCTGGAGCCCTTCTTGGAAGGTTGGCATTGCATCCGTTCCAAAGTCATACCTGGAATCTGCTGGGAAAGCGAGACTTTAGGGGGACGGGCTCTTGTGTCCTAATTTAGTGTCTGAGCTGCCGCCTCTGGAACAAGGCGGCAGGATTTCCTCTGTGCCTCCAAGTCAGCCTGGTACAGCACTGTCCCACCTGTGGCTGCTGAGGCAGCTCAGGGTGCACACGGCCTGTCTGAGTTCAGCCCCTTGACATGCCTCCACTCAGCTTGTCTAACAGGAGCACAAGCCTGACGCAGACAGGAGGCCTGTCTTGCAGATTCCTTTCCCACTGCCTTCCTGGGACAAGGGGAGGAGCCCAAGAACCGGGGCCATAGAGGAGAGAAGCTGGGAGTGATGCCCAGACAGCCAGCATTTCAACCTCACTTCCTCCTGGAAGGAGGTCCACGGTCAGCTGAGGAACCCTCTGGCAGCAGCCCCTGCCTTTTCTAGGGAAAGTAGAAAAAGAATTTTAGTGGGTTGTTTCTTTGTTCCACCAGCAGGGTAAGGGGTTCCAAATATTGCTTGGCAAGTACACTTTGGCAACTTCTCAACAAAGTTGTCCTGGCAGACCGAGCACCGCTCAGAAAGAGGAATGTGTGCCTCCAGCCAGTTTCAGCAAAATCACTCTCCACACACAGCTGAGAAGAGCTGAGTCACACATAAAATCGCTTTGGAGGTTTTGGACAAGTCTGTCCAGGCCGAGGTGGAGCAGGAGGAGTGGAGGAACACATGCTGATGTCTGATCTGCCCGCAGGAGGCCAGGTTCCCAGGCACAGCTGTGGCCGCACGGCCTCAGGGGTGAATGGAGATATTCTCTGGGATCATGGGGACATGAATGTTGCCCTCTCTCGCAAAGCACAACTAAGTGTTCAGCCTTCTTTTTAGCCATGACACCAGCACAGGTCTCTGGAGGGCCTGGTCCTTCAGGCCATAAGACCACAGCTTGTCAAAGCACGAGGGAATTTCAGTCCTAAACTAGCTCTCTTTGATAAAACGCCCCTGGCCTAGAGATTTAGTCAAGCTGCTTGTTTTATAGTCTCCCCAGATCCTGTTCTGTGTCTTCTCACTTCACGGGGTCAGCCATGCCCCTCCCCTCCTTCCACATCCAACACGTCAGCACCGTGAAAAGCAGCTGCTCCCCCTTGCGCGGCTCAGAGACTCCCCTAAGCTCAGCGCACAGGCCTGTTTTCCCGTTGGCCCTGTTCTCCGTGCCCCAGAGCCCTTTGCCCACCTCTTGGACTGGACCGACGGCTGTAACCTGCCCTCGACCACCTTGCCCTGGGCAAACAGTGCAACACACACAATTTGGAGCTGATAGCCTGTCGTGTCTCAGCCCCAGGCCAGGATGGAAGAATTTTCTACTCTGATGAAGCCCCAGACAATCTCACCCCCAGCGTGATGGCACAATCCTGGGACCTGCAGCGTCCTTCGAATCACAGAAAAGAGTGGCTCTCCAAGAACTTCCATTCAATTATGCACCCATTCGGGGGGCTGCGGGAGAGGCTCCTAAACATCCAGCAGGGGTACACACACATGCCCAGTGACACACATACACTCACACACTCATACACTCACTCGTATACACACTCACACACACACTGTCTCACACCCCCTTCCTCACCTGGGGCTAGATGTACTTGGAGCCTCACTTTTGTCCAGGAAACTTGCCACGTCGAAAGCATCTTCAAAAAGGATCTGAAAGAAAGCACAGAACTTTGTGTGTCAGACATAACTCTACGGCTTGACTCTTGCTTGGGCTGCTGCAGGGACATGAGCACAAAGGCTCTCTCTTACTCCTCACCCCCGAAAGGTGAGCATGTTAAAGCTGGGGCCCACACCAGGGTCTCTGCTTGGTGACCTTCCCAGGGGGTACACATTAAGCTCTTGCCTGCCCAAAACAAACTGCCAACCCCAGAGGTGGCTGAGAGGGACAAGAAAGCCCTGGGGACGGCGATGTCCTCTTTCTAAAGAAGGTGGGAGCTCATGTGCAAGATGCAGCAGCCAGAGCCAAGCCTCAGTTTACACTGGCACAGTCTTGTCCACACCGCCTGAGGAGCAAAGACTGTTTGAGCCCAGGACCCACCATCTAGCAGTTTCATGCCAGGGCAGCAGAATATAGGGGTCAGGGGGCTCTGGAGTTAGGCTGCAGGTGAGCCAACTCCCAGCCCTGCCACTTGCTAAGCTGTGTGACCTCAGGCAAGTGACTCATTTTCGCCAATCCTCCTCTATGAAGGGGAATCACAACAGCAACATCCTGAGAATTAAATAAGATGTTATATGTGAAGCACCTGGCATACAATAGTGGCTCAAATATGTTAGCTATTATTGAATATTATCTGCTTTATAAAAGAAACAATGTTCCTTGTGGAAATTTTGGGAAATAGAAATAGATGAAGAAAATAAAAATCATTGAAAAACAATTCCACCCAGAGATGCCCATTGTTGACATATTGATCTATTCCCTCCAGTCATTTCTCTAGACACATTATATCATAGATTCTCGATTTTGGATCCTTGCTATTTAGATAATTTTCAGTCCTGCTTTTCTTTAATTTGTTGAAGAATATGAAATATTCCACAAAATGTGATATACATTTAAGATTGCAAGATTTAGCAAATAAAAAATACGGTGCTTGGTTAAATTTGAATATTAGATAAAGAACGAGTAATTTTGCATGAGACATTCTTATACTAAAATTTTAACTGGGCATGCTTTGTTTTATCTGGCACCTCATTTACATAGACAGCCATTCTGAAGAGAGGGAGTTCTCCAGCCCTGAGTTGGCAGGTTCTGGCAGGTTCTGGCAGGTTCCTCAGGGTCTCTCCCTTCCCCTTACCTGGGACACTCTGCTTTTTCCCTGTAGGCCTTGTGTCTGCCCTTCATGTCTTCTTACAATTTTCTTCCCCTGAACTGAATCCCTTGGGATTCTGGCAGTGTGAATTGGCCCCCTCCTGGTTTTCTGGACATTTTCTGGTGTCCTTCTTTTTGCTATTCCTTTGGTCACCTCAAAGAGGATCTGGAAAGGGGTCACTGAAAGGCCTGAGCTCTTGTGTCCACCAGGCCAGAAGCCCATCGGCTCCATGTTCCTCCCCAATGGGCTTGAGGCAGGGATCCAGGACCTAAATTCCTGTCCTCAACCCATCAGCCCACCAAAGCTGTGGCCACACACTGTCCCCACCTATGCAAACCCCTTCTACATGCCAGTCCAAGGGGCATGGCCAGACTGCTTGGTCCATCTGGAGTGCCCAGCAGACTTACAGGCCAGGCATCTCAGCACTGAAGGGTCATTATCCAGACACCTCCTCGCACACCTGACCCTGAGTCCAGGGGCTGGCCCCGAACACTATTGTTCCACAGCACCACCACTCCAGATGAACCAGGAGATACCGAGGTTTCACTGCACTAATTTAGAACCCACAACAGGAGTTGCCTGGGCTCCAGCCTTGCCCTGGGTGTAACTGTTCTGTGTTCTGCCAACATTTCACCAGCCCTGGGTTGGCCTAAGCCTGGGGACGGTGGTGCGGGCAGAGCCTCACTTTGGGCACGACTGAGGGACTCTGCTGCCAGCTTCCTCAACACCAGAAGAACATGAGCCCTTAGCCCTTCCTGAAAAAGGCCAGATAAGTTGCCCCCATGATTTGGGGACATTAGATTCTGGGGTTTTCTCTTTGGGTGTGCTCTTCCTTAAGGAAAGGTACATGCTTGCAAACGCACAAACACACAGTCAGTTTACAGTTTGACTGAGTTGTTCATGCGTTTGGCATATTTCTTCCTTTTGCCTACTTTGCTGTGAGACACCAGAGCCAGGCACTTTGGGGCTACAAAGGTGTCTAGGCTGGCTGGTGCATGCCTCGGGAATGAGGTCTTCATCTGCTGGTCATCTGGCCCCGCTTTGACCGCAATGGAGGAGAACTCATTCCTCTCATGGTGGACCCAACATCAGTGGACAAACAGATGAGAAGTCTGGCGGAGTGACGACTGGGGGCGGGGGCACGGGCGGTAGCTGATTGACTGTTGCAGATCTGCACCGGGAGTTCCCTCCAATACGGCCCACGTGCATCAGTCACTTGGGGCGCTTGATAAAATGCAGATTCTGAGCCAGCCCCCCTCAGGGACTCTGATTCAGTGAGTCTGTGGTATTAGCCAGGCACCTGCCTTTGTACTAAACTCCAGCTGAGAAGCATCAGGGGAGATCGTGGAGGGTTGACCATAAACAGGTAACCAAAGTGTAAAGAGCTTTGAAAAAATCTGTGATGAAGCAGATAGATCCCTGAGGCAGGAACTGGACATCCTGGACAAGTCTCCCTACTCGCTAGGCCTCGTCTGTAAACTGAAAGGACTGGACTAGTGACCGACATCCCCTTGTCTCCAGGCCTGGGCCCTGATGGCTGGGAAACTTCCCGGAGGATGGGGGCGTTCCAGAGCTGTACCTGCTGGAGGCCATGGATGCTAGATGTCCTGCAAAGCACAGGACAGGCGCAGAGAGCCAAGAACTGCCTGCCCCTGGGCTGGAGAAGTGAGGGCAGACACAGCCCCTGTGGTGGCAGCAGGCTTCTGAGGCTGTCCTAATTCTGGAAGAGCAGCTGAGGGGCCCACGTTGACCTCAGCGCAGAGTGACTGCTAACGCCACCGGATGCTGTGCTTTGCTGACCATGGCCATTCTTACAACTTGCACTCTGAGAGCACATTTACAGTGGCCCTGAGGTAGCCTCCTTGAAGTGCGTTCCCCTCTCTTCACGGAGTGGCAGCAATGCTCTTTGGGGTGGGAACTAACCTCCTCTCAGGGATTGGGCCTGATTGGTATAAATGTAATCCTATCTAGATTATTCCAGTCATTGACTCAGTAATCTGGCAATCAGGCCAATTCTGGCCAATAAGAGTGCAGGAGAGGGCCGGTGGAAGTTTCTGGAAAAGTTCTTCCTTGACCCTTAAGAAAAAGCCACAAGGAATCTTTCTCTCTCTTACTTGGTGTAGAAAAGGAAGAATGACAGCTTGGCTGCTACCAGCTGCCATCCCACAGTCACAGGGAGTGGGGATGGCAGAGAGGGGAGAAAAGGTGAGAAACCAGCCTTAAGATGAGGCAGAGCAGGGAGAAGGGAAGAGCTGAGTCTGTGGTGACATCACCGAGGTTGCAGAAGCCCTCCCTGCCCCGGGACCTCCCTGGCTGTGAGTATACATTTCTTCATGGTTTAATGAGCAAGTAACTTGTAGCCAGAAGAATCCCAACTGATAGAACCTTCTAAGCCTTCTCGTCAAAATCCCCATGGAAAGGCCAGGAAACTAACGAGAGAAAAAGAAATGCTGTTCTGTGGTCCTGGAGATCATGTCGGGAAAAGCAAAAACCTACTGCATGAGCCAGAATCCAAACAGCACCTCAAACTTGCTCAGTGACCAGAGCAGATCCCTGGTGTCTCCAAATTGTTCCTGTGCACCCCTCTACCCAACTCCCACAGGGTCTGCTCACCTCCTCCGGGGTGGAGACCAGCGAGCAGCTGGCCCCTTGGCTGTCGACTCCACTGTCCTTCACGCTGCCCTCAGCACAGGCTGGCTCCTGACAGGCCCCTGCGAGGCCCGGGGGGCCTCTGTGCTTCTGCGCCCAGGCCTGCAGGAGACTGGCCTTCCTCTCCTCAGAGAGGTTCTGCCACAGGTGAGAGATGGCCGCAGAGACGATGGGGAGTGTCACCTCCTGCGAGGAGACAATCCTGTTCCTGATCAGAAGGTCCATCGTCTGCTTGTAAAAGTTGAGATACCTGGAACAGAAACACACCATCTCCCAGAACTAAAGCTAGTGGCTGATTGTCCCTCCCCAAGCCATCTCCTCGGGATTCCGCTCATGGGGTGGTCCACAGCACACAGGCCTTACCACAGGTCTGTGCTGGACCAGAGGCTTAGCCCTACTAGTCTCTGTGTGTCCGCAATGCTTAGAACACAGAAGCCATCTTGGGAGCCATGAATGATATAGATTTGTGCTCTGGGGTCCTTCCCCAAGTCCTCCCCGAGCCCCCCCATGAAGATCTCCCCGATAGAAGAGAGGATGAGAGGTGTGGCTGGCTCAGCTCTCCCCCATGGGAAAACTGCTTAAAATTCTCAGCCCATGAATATGCAGACACCATAAGATGCCCGCTTTAATCTGAGGCCTGAAAGTCAGGCTCAGCTGTGGAGTGAGCCTCCTTCTACTGGCCAATGCCTCTGGAAGCCAACATGGATGTCAAGGGTCTCGAGTCTGTGGAGGGGCAGTGGGAGTCTGAGCCAGCCATTTGCTGTCTTTCTTCCTGTAAGACCAGTAATGCTGCTGAAAGCAGATTTGTGGGGCGTGTGGTGGCAGTGGGGTGGGGGTGTTAGCCCTCATAATCCCCATCAATAGCTCCCTCAATGGCACCCCACATAAAGACCCGGTCTAAGTAAACACAGTGTATGTGCTGTGCCAGTGTAGCTTCAAGACTATTTCTCTAGCCCCTCCACCAACCCTATTCCCACGTCCCAGCTCTACGGAAATTCTGGAGATTCCGTGACTCAGGGCCTGGTCTGAGAGAGCACTGAGGCTGCAGCATGCCCGAGCTGGCACCTCTATCCCCTTCCCCACAGGAGCTTCAGCTGTGCACGGAGCCATCTCTCCCAGCCTTTCACACCGTTCAAATTCCATGAGGTCTGGCAACAAGGTGACTGGGGAGTGTAAGAGCTCCACTGTTTTCTCCTCTTCCTCCTCGTCTTCCTCCTCCTCTTCCTCCTCTTCCTCTTCTTCTTGGTCTTCGTCCTCTTCCTCCTCCTCTTCTTCCTCATCAGCATCCTTCCCAACAGCCTCAATTGGGTACCAGGTGACGGAGCCCTTCTGATGAAACTTGTTTGAGAACAAACTGGGGAGGAAAGAGAAACGAGACGACTATAGACTAATGTCCCTCATGAAATCAACACCGAAATTCTAAACACGATTTTAGCAACAATATACACATACATAAAGGTCAACGCATCATGACCAAGTAGGGTTTATCCTGGGAATGCAAGATGGCTGCTTCAAACTTTGAACATCAATCAATGTAACTCACCATTATCAACAGACCAAAGAAGAAAAACCACGTGATCATCTCAATAGATGCAGAAAAAGCCCTTGGCAAAATTCAATATCCATTCATGATAAAACTCTCAGCAAACTAGGAATAGAAGAGAACTTTCTCGACCTGCTACAGACCGTCTTCAAAAAACCTACAGCTAACATCATACTTAACAGTAAAAGACAATGTTTCTCTTGTTAAGATCAGAAACAAGACAGGGATGTCCACTCTTACCATTCTGTTCAAAATCGTACTGGAGATTCTAGCCAGTCCAATAAGGAGAAAAAAGAGGTAAAAGGTATACAGACTGGAAAGGAAGAAGTAAAACTGTCTTTATTTGCAGACAATGTGATTATCTATGTAGAAAATCCCAAAGAATCTACAAATAATAACTAGAACTGAGAAAGGAGTGTTTAACAAGGTTGCAGAATACAAGGTCAATATACAAAAATCAATAGTATTTCTATGTATTAGCGATGAACAATTGGAAATTGAAATTTTAAAAAGTACCATTTATAAAAGCACCAAAAATCATGAAATACTTAAGTTAAATACTTAGGTTTAAACCAAAAGCTCAATCAAGAAAAGAAAAAATGGATAAGTTGTACTTTATCAAAATTTTAAAATTCTGCTCCTCAAAAGACAGTTTTAAAACAATGAAACAACATGACACAATTTGGAAAACCAGGACTTGTACCCAGAATCTCTTTATACCAATAGGAGTAATCCCCAAGGTGTTATGTTGAGTTAAAAAGCAAGTGCACCAGAGGAAACATAGGAGGAATCTTTTTTTTTAAATCTCAGAGTGGAGGAAGCTCTGAATATTTCCCCAAACTCAGGAGCCGTAACAGATCAGTAGATTAGACTTCTTCGCATGGCCAAAACAAAAACCAAAAACATCAAAAGCAAAAGAATAAAACAAACGACCAAGGGAAAATTGTTTGCTAGTCATATACTAGAAAGAGATCTAATTTCTCAATATACATAAAGAGCTTCTACCATTAAATAAGAAAAAGACCAGCAACCCAACAGAAAAACGGGCAAAGAATAGGTACAAATAGTTCTCAGGAAGAAAAATACAAATAATCTTGAACAAAGGCACTTAAGCTCACTCATAATTTAAATACTTAAGTAACTAAAATATAATAATCGTAAAATATAAGTAATCCTTTCCTATGCGGGTACCTCAGTTTTAATTATTGTAGTTTTATAACGTTTCTAGTGAAAAATTCTCCCTAATTATCATGATTTTAAAAGAAATTTAGCCATTCTCACCTGGGCAAGTGACATAGGCATTGATAAGACTGTAGTACGTGATAAAGTTTGTGTCCTAAACCAGTAAGGAAAGGACAGCTCATGTCAGAAATGGGGTGGGATCCGCGGTTAACCGCTTGGGAAACGCCAATGCAGACGTGCACCTCTCTGAGACCATCTCCAGGCTGATTGCGAGGCAGGGACCAGTCTGACTTGTAAGATGTGGCCACAAACACACTGCCACATACATTCAACAGGTACACATACCACACCTGTCTCCTCCCCTCTGCAACCAAAATGGTGACTGAAGTTGTCTGTATGGAGTGTGATTATAGGTGACGTGGCCTTCTTTATACTGTTCTGTATTCTCACAGTGGCTACAATGTGAGTTTTACTTAATTTTAATAATTCATCATTTCTCCTGATTATCTCCCTTAGGATATAATACATGTTCATTATTTTTTAAAAAATCTGAAAACAAAAAAGCACAGAGAAGAAAATAAAAGTCATCAGCAACCCCACCAAAAACAAAAGGAAATATCACTTCATCTAGGCAGGCTCGTGGTAGGTTCTGAATAGCAAGCAGTTTGCGTTCCCATCTGCAGAGTGGGTAAAATTGCTCGTGCTCTTGAGTCTCACCTAAGGCCTACCTGGATACACACTGTGCTGCACACACCCTGGGGCCACCAGAGATGATGAGGGCCCAGCCACTGCCCCAAAAACCCAGGCTGCTCTTGAAGCAGCCCTGCAGGATGAAGATGTGCTGCAGGGGGTTACGTCATCCTTGGAGAGCACAGTAAAGGATGCGTCTACACAGTACACGTAAAGAGCCCAGAGAGCATGAGAGTTAAATACCAAAAATGAGCTCATAGAAGTAAAGAAAGACACCTCTCAAGTCAGTCTCTCTCTTTCAAAGTCTGGGTGCGACACTATGAACGAGGTTCCCTTTCAGCCTGTGTGAATCTGGATGTACTATTTTTTCCTTTCCTCTCTGAAGTCCAGTTTGGCTTTTCTTATGTTCCTATGAGGCTTGAAAAGTAGGAAGAGATTTGAAGTTTCCTTATTTTTACATGCATCCTTCAATAAAGCTGTTAGTTGAGTTTTTTTAAAGCTATAATACATTATGAACTCATTTCTCCATAAAATAATGTGCAAAATTTAAAAAACCGGGATATTCTTTGAAATTAACACTGATTTTCCTTGAGAAGTGAGACAATATGTATTTTTATTTTCTTTTTGGGCTTTTCTGTATTTTTGACATTTTCTGTAGTGAGCATAGATTACTGTCGTAATCAGCAAAAACATGCAATGCATGTTGTTAGAACAAAATAGAAGAATTGTCTCTGACACAAGTCTGTTCTAAATAGGCAAGCAGCAGCTCGTCCTCTGTTCCGCATTCTGGACGGGAAAGTTGAGCTGCTGTGACACAGCAGAGCAGTAAAAGAACAGGGGGCTCTGGTTCTCCTGGTGCTTGAGGGTCTTACCTGTGGTTTCTGGAGTACATGCTGGCATATTCTTCCTTGACCTCCTCTAAGCTGTTTGCATTCCCATCCTCCAGGTTGAAGGATTCTATTGGGGAGTTGAAGGCAAGGGTCACAGAGGAGAAAGTCAGGCCCTTGTGGAATCTCTCCTGCCTGTCTGGCCTGGATGGACCGTGGGTGGTCCCTGAGCTGCCCAGGATCAGTGTTAGGGGGTCAAGAGCCCAGTTTCACCTCTCCTTCTAGGTGTGAGGGGAGAACACCAGACCAGGGGGAAGGGGTTCTAGAACTGGCCCTTCTCAATCAAGACATCGAAAGTATCCCTTTCAGAGTTCAGCTTCCACCAGCCTATTAAACCCCCATCCTCAGCCAGCCATGTCTCCCAAACTGAGTGACGAGGAAGGGGGCCGGGTTCTGCCCTTAGCTTGTGAGTCTGAGAAGCCCTGGTCCACTTCTTCTCTGGCCTCTCGAGATGAGATCAGGTTCCCTTCACCAGCACCCCAAAAAGGAACTCATCATGCTCACACAGCCTGAGCTTGTGTCTGTCCCGGTAGACAGCAAGCTCCCTGAGGACAGGGGCGTGAAGCTCATCACACCCCCAGCCCAGGCGCAGTATCTGGCACAGAGTAGGCCCTCAATAAATATTTTTGTTCACTCAGTTTAACCCAATCTGTTCTGTTTTCATAGAAAAACCGACCAGCCTTCCCCTGGGCGTTGGGGTGGATGGCGGGTAAGGCTCTATTACCTTTCAGCTTCAGCAGATTATCCAAGGTTTGTTCCAGTTCCTGAATGTGATTCTTCGCCTTATTCAAAACCTGCCACTGAGGACAGAGACAGACAATGCTGAAAAGCCGGCCTTCCACCGCAGACATGGCTCTGTGGACACAGGAGCCCCTTCCCCAGTCTGAGGCCATGCTCCTGCAGATGCAAAGTCACGGTCCTTGCCGTGGTCAGTAAAAAAAGGAGAAGGTTTGATCTGAGGCACAGAAGGCATGGAGTTTAATTTGTATTCTAGAAATGTTTCTCTCTGAAATACTAAAGTGTTTGGCAACAACTAAGCTGCATTCAGCAGACTACTGCTGTGCCACTCAAGGCAAATAATTTAACTTTCTAGAGGCTCAGTGTTCTCATCTGTAAAACGAGGATGATATGAATAGAATTGTGAGGAATGAATGAGGTAATCCATTGGCAAATGAGACTAACATTTCTAACTACTTATGACAATGCTCCGTCTTTTCATGCCATTATCTTGTTAAACCCCATGACAGGCCTCTGAGGAAGCCATGACTATTGTCCCTGTTTAATAGATGTGTTCACTGACCTAGCAAGTAACTTCCCTCACGTGGACTGAGGCCAGTTAACAGCCAGGCTCTCAACCACCACCTCATGAGGTACAAATTTTAGGAGGTAACAATGGTTTTCCTCTAGATTTACTTCCATTTCTTACTTGGAGGCCCTGAATGCCTGTTCCTTCTGTGGTCATGCTGCCAGTCTGTGCAGGCTTCTTCACTGACCGATGACAGGGACTTTGGTTTTTTTTTTTTTTTTGGAGGAAGATCAGCCCTGAGCTGACATCTATGCTAATCCTCCTCTTTTTTTGCTGAGGAAGACCGGCTCTGAGCTAACATCTATTGCCAATCCTCCTCCTTTTTTTTCCCACCAAAGCCCCAGTAGATGGTTGTATGTCATAGCTGCACATCCTTCTAGTTGCTGTATGTGGGACGCGGCCTCAGCATGGCCAGAGAATCGGTGCGTCGGTGCGTGCCCGGGATCCGAACCCAGGCACTCCACCAGTAGCGGAGTGCACACACTTCACTGCTAAGCCATGGGGCCGGCCTGGGACTTTGGGTTTTAATGCACCCCTGGAAGTCTGCAGCATATACCTCCACATGCAGAGGACATGGAGCAGAGCTATGCTAGACAGGCTCTTTGCTGTGAGGCCCAGACGTGGGATCTCCCCCACTCAAACCCCGAGTCCTGAGCCCCTGAGCCTGGCTCACCAGAGAGAGAAGGAACAGCCCCCCACGCCTCCCATCCTCCATGCCCTGCTACAAGAGCCGGTGGGATCTATGTTGATTCTCTCAGCTAACCACAATCGTGCCCCTATGTGGATCCCTGCACAAGGGTGCTCAGGGGCGCCTTTCTCTAATTTCCACAGAGGCCCTGGCCCTGTGCTGCTGAGGAGCCCTTCTGCGTGCCTCAGCGAGAGTCCTGTGCCAGCCCCAGCAGCGGGAAGCTCATGCCCATCAAACAATCCCTCTCCATTAGTGTTGCTCTGCTGAAAGCACCAGCCCAGGAAGGAAAACCCACTGGCTGGAAACAGTCACAGGATGACGAGTTGGTCTGGAGAGGTGGACGGTGGAAAGATGCCAGGTCCAGAGCTGGGAACGGGGCCACATCCTGGTCCTGCCACCAAGCAGCTGACGGGTCTTTTCTCAACTCCAGTTCCCTCTTCTGTTAAAAGAGGGTGGAGGAACTAGAGGCTCTTGGGGATCTCTCCACTACTGGAGACGTCCTGCAGTGCTTCCTCCAGTAACATCAATTCCATTCCTTCTACCACCGCCCAAAACCACCCGAACCTTCCTCCGTGCTCTGCCAGAGGCACTAATTAGCTACAAAAAGCCATGTAACGAGAAAAGCAAAATTAAGAAAAGGAAAGATAAATGCTTACCTGGAGAGCCCTGTTGCCTGGGGAAAGACCTGGTTGGTGCATAAAACTCAAGAGCCTCACACATGCATGTATATGTGGGTGTGTGTGCACGCATGTGTGGTGTGTGTGTGTGTTTGGGGTGGAGATGTCGGGTCTGGGGGCAGCTCCCGGAGACTCAGCACTGCCCATGAGAAGCACAGGCGGAGGAGTCGCTGGCTCACCAGGCCTCTCATGCCCGGATTTCCCTTCTCACGTCAAGCTTGTCTGCAGCCGGTAGGTAAGGGCCGGCTCTCACTCTTTCCCCTCATGCAGCAGCAGACGTGGCACCATGAGGTGTCCACAGCTGATCGCTGACCCCACCCAGGCCACAGCCGTCGGGAGAGGGGAGGGTGGGAACTCCGGGCCAGTCCCCATCTCGCTCCTCAAGTCCTCTATGTGTGGAAACTTCTCCCCACACTCAGGTCGCCATACCTTTGAGGCTGTGAGGTCAGACTGGGAGTAAACGGTTTTCCTGAGGTTGCTGAAGAGCCCTGCCATGGTGGCCCGGTGGCGGGCCTGGGACAGGCGTCTACGGGCCACCCGTGTCTCAAGCTTCTGCAGCTGCGCCAGAGGCCGGGGCGCGGCTCTGCCGCTGGGGATGCTGCCTCCTCCAGAGGTCTCCATTACAGGCTGCAAGGTGATATTATGCTTTTTTTGCCCTAAATAATAAAGACACACATTAAAGGAAAAGGAAGGCAGATTGAAGCAGACAGAAAGAGTTACCACTCCCAAGTAAAAGGTCCCAGACCAATGAATATAGTCAATAACAGATACACAATAAAAAGCAAACACCCAAAATCTGTTATTTAAGCTTGATTCCTAAAAACACAAACTGCTCACATTTGGACTTAAATTTCATCAGCACTGCTGCTTTACACTGGGAAGCTTCCAGAAATTGCAGAGACTCATCAGGCACTTGCTAATGGACTGCTGTGGCCAAGGAGAAGGAGCCATTCCCCGAGATCTCATGCTTTGCAGTCTGTTAAAAGTTGAACAGGTATGTGTCCCACTCTTTGAGGTGAAGAATGCACCCCTCTTTGATCTGGGTAGTGGTTACACAGGTGTATATTTATGAAAAAAATTCGTCAAGGTGTATTTTTTAGATTTGTGGACTTTTCTGTATATATATATTATGTCTCAAAAAGAAGAAAACGCACTCTTCTACCTGTGGAAGCAAAAGGTCACATGACGACAGAAGTGGAAGTGGGTTCGCCTTGTCCTGCCTCTGGTGGGCTCTGAAGATGATCATTGGTGTCTTTTGTCACATCTGAGTTTACAAACCAGGAGCCCTTTCCTAGGAAAGGTGATTCTGAGACTGATACGTAATAGTATTAAGAGACAGGGACTAGGGTCTCTTACCTGAGCCATGGACCCCTCCATCAGGCGCTCCCCCCACCACTCAGAGGGAGGCTGGCTCCCCACTGCCCTGCCAGCTCTTTGGACAGAGAGGCTGTGTCTTCATCGCCTCCATATCCCCGGTGGGTGCTCAGTGTTGAGATTTTGAGTGAATTAGAATGGGAGGTCTCCGCTGGGTCCACTCTCCCCTGAGCTCAGTCCTGCTACACAAGGACAACGCATGACCTCGCCAGGGGTCTGCCAATTTAGATGTATGTCAGTCACCTGGGGAGACTGCTGAAAATATACATGCCCAGGCCCCACCTCGAAACACTGGATCTGAATCTACTGGGGTGGGCCCAGGCATCGGTGGGCAATACCGTCCCAGGCGATTCTGATACTCTCACGATTTGAGCCATCTACACTAGGGTACTCATAGTAGCACCACAGCTGGCAGCAGCTGGGAAGAGTATCTCTTCTATAGCAGGAATATTGGGGAAGGTGGTGGAAGAAAGCTCTCCCACTAAGTTCTAGGAGGAGAGTTGCCCACAGAGATAGTGAACCCAATCAGGCAGTGTGGGATTTTAAAACATCTTTTAGGTCAGAAAGCAAACTTCCATCAACAATGTGGTCTTCCCAGTGTGTCTACTTTCCCTCTGTTTGCTTCTCAGAGCAATGGCAGGAGGAGGGTACGTAGGGGCCACTTTACTGCGTGGATCCCGGTAACTCCTGTAACATTCATCACCAGGGGTTACACCATCAGTGCAGAGAGGATGGCGCAGAACCTGCAGAGGCCCACCCAACCCGAGGGCTAGGTTAAGTCAGAGGCCACATCTTTATAGTCTCCAGTTTCCAGACACCGACAGATCTTTAACAGGAAGCAAGGTGAAACAGTGAAAGTTTTGAACTGCCTAGGGAAAAATGGGAAACTTTTGACCCTAAGAACATAGGTTTTCTTTACTTGTTTACATTAAAGAGAAATGAAGGTACCTGGACCCCAGGGAATTTAGGTCAATATACATAAAAAGATACCCTGATGGGAAACATTGTTCTAGAAGAATGGAAGTAAAAATCCCAGGGTCCTCCCAGGATCTCGAATTCTCTAATAGTCTGAGAATACTATTACCAAGGCCTTTGGGCTTGTGGGGAATCTGGAGTTCTCCCAGTGCCAATGCCGATAATTTGGGTTTCCTCCCAGGCTTCTACTTAAACACACTCCCCCTGAAGTATCTGGATGGCTGTGTGGACATCAGTCACTGCATAAGGGGGCAGCCCTCTGCCTCTCCCATAGGGGGCAGACCCCCCCATTACCGGCTCCCCCTAGATGCAGCCTTCCCTGCCCACCTCTAGGGGTGAAGAGGGCGCCAGAGCATCCTGTCTGGCTGCTGGGAGCTGTGACCTCCACCTCACCCCACCTGCCTCAGGTGCCCTGGTCAGGAGCTGGGAGATATTTCCCCCGCCTGGGATGAGATATGGGAACACCTCAAGGAAGATGGGAAAAGATCCTTCCACTCCACTTTGAGGGGAGAATCAAGCCAAGTAGATGTCAAGCCTGATTAGACCTCGTGCAATTTTAAATCTCCTACCCCTACATGCTGCCCCCTGCTCTCCACTGGGAGTAATTTGCTATGATCTACCAAAGGCATTCTTTTGAAGCTATTTTCATTGACTTGCACTGTGGCCCTGACAGGAGCTTAGGTCAACATTTTTCAGATAGAGCTTTCCATTGCAATGATGCAGTTGGATGTGACCTGTCAGCACCTCTGAGCTGTGTGAAGGGGTGGATCGCCCAGGACAAGTACCACAGAAGTCACAATCTCAGACAGGGGGTGTGGGGAGAGCAGGACCCTCCTAGCCTTATTCTGAGGTTGGGTCTTTTGATAGGAATGGGGGAACTAACCGTATTGTGAAAATGAGATCAAGAAGTCATCTTTTATTGAAAAACAAAACAAAAACAAACCTTTTCTACCAAAGCCCTATGCAGATGCAAAGCATGTTAAGGAAACTGCTCCCAGCACTATAAGGAATTAGAGCAATGTAGAGAGTGTACTCTGAGATGCCATCCCAGGGGCCTGGAAATCTGCATTTTAATAGCCTTGAAAACTCAGAATCTTCCATTTCCCCTTTCTCTCACTATTAACAAAAGAAACATTTGCTCTCCCACCCACCCTCTATTGCCTTTCCTCCCACCTAGAATGCCACCCCTCTCTGCCACCCCCTCCTACACCCAGAGTCTACCTCTCTAGAGTCACTTTGTCTTCAATTCCCAGTTTGAGTCCCAATTCCCCTCAGAAATTTCCCAGCCCTAGCCCACACTGGTTTCTAACTTAATCTTGTTTTGCCAACAAATCAGTAAGATCCTTGGTCAGGATCCACGTATCCAGCATCAAAGGTGTCCCTCACAGGGTGCACGCCATGTGCGGGCATACACCATTAACTCCAACACTCCCTTTCCCGGCTGCTCCTCCCAGACTAAATCCACTAAGAGTTCTGCTGCCTGGACCACTAGGACAGAATCTCCCAGGGGTGGGAACAAGCAGAAGTGCTGGGCTGAATGAGCTAAAGGAAAAGGAAGATTAAGCGAAAACCTTGGGGGCAGAGAATAACAGCTAGGTCCACCCTAACCCAAAAGATCCCTCTGGATCCTAAGCATTTACAGTCTCAAGAATTGAGTTCTTGGCAAGATTCACAGTGAGAGGCATGCATTTCAGAAGCTTAGAAACGCCTTTGATGGCCAGCCTTGATGCCTAGTGGTTAAGTTCAGTGCCTCTGCTTCGGCAGCCCAGGTTCAGTTCCTGGGGGCAGATCTACACCGTTCATCTGTCAGCGGCCATGCTGTGGTGTTGGCTCACATACAAAATAGAGGATGACTGGCAGCAGATGTTAGCTCCGGGCGAATCTTCCTCAGCAAAAAAAAAAAAAAACCATTGGAAGGTGATGCTGCCTAATTGCCACGTAAGAGATGTGGGGAGGCATTATACAGCGGCAAGAACCTGGATATCCTATTCTGACTCAGGAAAGTGGTCATGTTTGGAGGCGTGAGTGTGAGTGTTTGGGCATCTGAAATGTGAGAATCGAGGGAACCTAGTACAGAGACAGTAGGTGGAAGGAAGCTAGTTCTAAGAATCCAGAGTGGGTGGGATGATACAGGGATGCACCCAGAGATGGTACGGGTCCAATGGGATGAACTGGTGTGAGAAGGAAGGCTGGATTGTGGATTGGCTCGAGACCTAGAGACTATAACTCTAGGTCTATGTTAACCAGCCATGTGACTTCGTATGAGCCAAGAAAC